TGGCCCAGTTGCTACCCTCAGTGGCCCCATCGTTCCCTTCTGTGGCCCCGCATTATCTGCCCTTCGTGGCCCCGGCTCGTTCGCGCTCTTCGTGGCCCCATACGCATTCCCTTCGTCCCCGCTGTCGCCCTCCGTGGCCTACTTCGTGTCCTTCCTGGCCCTGCTGTCGTTCCCTCTCGCTCTCGCTTTCGCTCGTTGTCGTCGTCAGACGTCGCCGTCGTCGTCGTCGTCGTCGTCGTCGTCGTCGTCGTCGTCGTCGTCGTCGTCGTGGTCGGTCCCCTGTCCGTCCCTCGTGGGGTCGGGTCGACGGTCCGCGCCCGCCCCGCCGATCAGCGCTGCCGCTGGCCAGGCCGACGGTCCGCTGGCCAGCCTGCAGGGAAGAAAGGTATACCCCCCAAAGGGGGCTCGATCGAAGACGAAGAGGGCGGGCAACTATCGAGGGTTTGGGAAATACGCGTTATTGGACACTCGAGCAGATAAGGGCGAGCAGTCTTAAAATGATTGTTGTTGTTGTTGTAGTTGTTAATGTTGTTGTTGTTGCTGCTGTTGCTGTTGCTGTTGCTGTTGTTGTTGTGGCAGTTGTTGTTGTTGTTGTTGTTGTTGTTGCTGTGGTTGTTGTTGCTGTTGCTGTTGCTGCTGTTGCCGTGATTGTTGTTGTGGTTGCTGTTGTTGCTGTTGTTGTATTGTGTTTCTGCATGTCTTTTGGTGCTGCTGTCTTCTTCCGGTCTGCGGCCTCCGGGGGCCGCTGCTTGGCCCTGGGGCCATCCAGTCAGACGCCTCGGGCCGGGGAGCCAGCTCCACGTCGTGGACGCATCCCAGACCCCCGACGCCACGGCTTTGGCACGACGCCGGCCCTCAGAGGTCTCGACCCATTCATTCCCCTGGCCCCGTTTTTCAGCCTTGGTCTTAAGTCGGGCCCGTCCCCCTACAGGAGGAATATTCAAAAATAGTTAAAGGATACAGTCGGGGCGCTAAACAAGGAACCCTTTTCGTTGGGGAGGGGCTCCGTGTTCCTTAATTGTTTCGCATCTTGCCTTAGGTTGTCCTTACGTTTTCGATGGGTAATCGAAGTTTAACTTATTGAAAAAAGGGACCTCGTTCCTTTTTTAGGGTTCCTTAGGTCAACGCCCCGACTGTAGTCTGGGGACTTTTTTTTGAATATTTGTTAACCATTTGGAGTATTTTTTGAGTATTTTTCATTTTTGGTTCAAAATTCCCCTGTAGGGGGACATGCCCGACCTTGGTCGCTTCTCCGACGTGCCCATGGGGGGCTGGCACAAGGCCTCCGGAGGCGGAACACATGGAGACGCCTCCCGCCTTGCTTGTTCCATTGCCCGAGGGGGTCTGGGGGGACCACGGCGCCGCGGGAAACAACAAAAAATACAGTCGGCCCGGATTACGTAGTAGGTCGACCCTGCCAGATCAAGAGTACCCTTGTGTCCTGTATCTGGCGACCCATGCCTCCCACATTCCTGTGGCAGCGTGGCCCTCGGAAGGGTCTTGTGTCCTCTCGCGCGCCCTGTCCAATCAAGTCCGACTGTACGGCGCGTCGGAGGTCTGGGCCCGGCGCGGGCCCCCCCGGGGGGGGGCCCTCCCCCCACGGAGGCCGCGGCGGAGGGCTTCCGTCGGGCTGCCCTCCTCGGGGGGCCACAGGGGCCGCCAGGAGGCGGCTGGGAGGAGGCGCCAGCCTTATGGGGAGGGGCGATGGGTGCGGTCGGTGCGTGCGTCAGGGAGTGTGCCCAGGAGGCTTCGGACCCTGGACGGTTCCCTGTCTGATGCGGGCGGCGGTGATGATCATCCCCAGGCCCCGTCGGGCAATGGAGAGATCAGGATGGGAGGGTTTTCAAGATTTGCGGCCTCTGGAGGCCCTTCCCGGGCCTCGGGGCGGTCAGAAAACGCCTCTTGAGGAGAAGCCAGTCCCAGGGAAAGGGTCGAGAGCCCTGAGGGTCGACGTACATGAAAAACTCATGACGTCGGGGGTCTGGGTCTATGGTCGAGCCTCCACCTGTGTTCCACCGGCTTCTAGACCGTGGGGTCCTTATCCAAGCGCCAACGGCTCCTGATGCAATGCCCTCCCCGTGCAGGCAAGGCGCTGACAAGAGGGATTGCTGTGGATTCGGATGGGCCCGTTGTTCCTTGGGTCGTTCCGTGGCTGTTCCTACGCCCAGGCGCTTCTGGTGCCGGAGATGGGTTGCGCTTCTGATTGTAGAGGCATTCATCCCGGACGCTCCAGGACGCTCCGGGACGCTTCGGGACGGACGCCCTGGGACGCTCCAGGACGCTCCATGCGAGTTCGTCCTGCAATAGTTTGGGAGCCCCCAGGGCTTCTCGGGGGCAGGGCTGCCTGGGGGCCTGCTGGGGCGGAAGGCTCGGATCGTTGGTTCGTGTTCCCTTCCTGGCCCCTCTTGGGGCCGTCGGCGTTCCTTCTGGCAGCAGCTTGACCTCGGCTGCGAGCCAACATGCTAATACTACGCGTGCGTCGCCCTCCCAGGGGCGAAGCGCCCGTCGAGAACTCTTGTAGTATATGCGCGTTGGCGGGCGCTTTCTGGCCACACTGCTCGGTTAGCGATATACTACAAGATGGTTGTACTACATGTTCGGGAGGACGCACGCCTCCAACGAGGACACATAGTGACTACTGATATGTCCTTTCGGGCCTGACGAAAGGGTAGGATAGGGAAACGGGGGGTTACGAACTCTGCTGCATGCAGCTTGTTTCCGCCCCGCCGCCAGGCCCATTCCTCGATGCATGGGCGCCTCCCGGCGCCAGCATTCGCCAGGAAAACCCAGCCACGTGAGCTGATTCTCTACCCGTTGCTATCCTACCCTTTTCGGACGGGGCAAGGACGAGGATGTTCCAGAGCGTCCCGCAACGCCCTCAGAGCGTCCAGGAACGCTCTGAGAAGGCCGCGGCGCCGGAGGCATCTTCCAGATCCGCCGGAGCCCCGAGATCCTCGATCTGTCCTCGCCCGGCGTTTACATTCTCGTCCTTGCTTCGTCTTTACCTTTCGCTGAATCCCGCAAAGGGAGGGAGGGGTGTGAATTCGATCGGGGTTTGCACCGAACCGCCCAAAACAGATGCCCACCAGCCGTAGGCGCAGGCAGCTCCCCATAGCTGCCGACGGGTGGGGCAAGCGGGGGGCATCTGTCTGTGGCACTTAGGTGCACCAGCGGATCGAACTCGTGCCCCCCCCCTCAGGGCCATCCCCCCTTCCGAACAAGTGTGATTTAAAAAGCTTTGGTTAAAAACAAGCAAGTGTGATAACAATTTGTGATACAGCAACACGTGTGATATCAAACTGTGATACAATATTAACTAGGTGTGGTAACAAAGTGTGACAGACATAACGAGTGTGATAAAACAGCAAGCGTGATAAAACGTATGTGTGATACAGAACTTGGTGGATCCCGACTTTCGTGCTCCCCGGTCATTGTGCGTCCCATGGACGCAGCCGTTTTGGCTCACGGGGCCGGGGCTGGCCGGCGGCGGGGGCGCCCCGCCGCCCCTTGGAGTTCAGTCGGGCCTGTCCCTCTACAGGAGGGATATTGTCCCTCTACGGGAGGGATGTTCTGATTTAGTCACGGAATAGTCCGGGGACGATCTCTGGACTAGTTTTGGGCATGTTTGGATGTTTGTTGGTGTCTTTCTTTGTCCAGAATTTTCCTCTAAGGTGGACACGTGCGACCTCGCCGCAGCCGCTTTGGTGCACGGGGCGGGGGGCCTGGCCAGCGGCGCCCGGCGGCGGGGGCACCCCCGCACGCCCCCTCGGGACATGCGCTGCGCCGGCAGCGTGCGCGCCGCCGCGCGGCGGCGCGCGCGGGCGGCGGCGGGGCCGCTGCGGGCGGCGGGCGGCGGCGGCGCCAGGCGCCGCGGCGCGCGGGCCCCCCCGACCTCCGCAGCTTGGCTGCCTCGACGCTGCCCGTGTGGGGACGCAGTGCGTGCCGTGCTCCAAGCGAGCGGAGACGCGGCCGGTTGGCTCCGCACGAAGAAGCGTCGGGCACGGCCCATCCTCAGGAGGAGTCCTCAGGAGTTGTCGCAACAGCGTCTGGGGACGACGTTCTGACTACTTTCGGGCCGTGTTTGCACAGTCGCCTGACTTTTTTGAAAGTTCCTCCTCCAACATCCGCCTGTAGGAGGACGAGAGCCCAGCCCAAGCTCAGCATGCTGGCCCACGCTTTGGCGAGCGCATCGCGCCAGACCTTCGTGTATTCAGTCCAAGTGGTGAGCTCCGTGCCAAGACGTTACGGGCAGCGTGCTGCGTTGTTGGGGGCAGATCGATGAGCCACGGGCGCTCGCTCCAGACGGGGCCTCGCCCTCGCGGATCGAAGGAGTTGCCCCCTCCTTCTCGGCGGAGGGCGGCGGAGGGCGGCGGACTCGGAACGAACGAGGGCGGCTCCGCCAGCGGAAGCTGGCGGAAGTGACGGAGCGCGACCCCCAGGAGATGGCAGCATTGCTGGGTTCCGTGTTTCCGGATCCCGCCAGGTGTTTCGGCCTGGATCCGTCTCGGACGGAAGGTTGTCCCTAGGGGAAGGGGTTGGGACCTCTGGGGCCCGCGGACTGGACAAAACCACGTCGTCAGATGTTTGGGGGAGGGGGTGGCGCGCGGGGGGTGCATTCTAAGAAGGCAACGTGCTTCTCAGAAGGGCTCGGAGGCTCCTAAAATAACGCCTCCGAAAGATCGGTCATTCCTGGAAGGCAAAATCCCCTGCAGCACCCGGTTGTGCGAGTCGCAGGAAGGGATCACGGCATAAGCATAAGCTTTCGGAGGTCCGCGCAGACCTCTCCGAGCGACGTGGGACCTCTCCGAGAGGTGCGCCCGGGGCAGCGCAGCAGACGCCGCCAGGGCGGGGTGGGCCAGCGCCGACCCGGGGAATCCGCGCGGGCCTCTGAAAAGCTGTGATTCTAGGCTTTTTGCGGTGGGGGCGTTGGTTCAGGAACGTGCCCATGAGGCTTTGGACCCTGGGGGGGTTGCTTATCCGATGCGGGTGGCGGTGATGTCCACGGCCACCCCACGATTAGAGCCCCACCAGCTCCCAGACCCTGGATTCCTTCTCCGGTGGTTCCTTATCCTATGCCTTCGCCGTATCGCTCTTCTGGGAAAGGTTGGGCGGAGAGCCCAGGTGGGACGTGAGCAGGGGCGGGCCCTCTCAGAAGGCTCGGAAGTCCCCTGGCCCTCGTCTTCTGCGCCTGGCCCGGAGCCAGGGAAAACTTCTCGGAACGCGCGAGGGCCCCGCCGCCTTCTGCGAGGGCCTCCCCTCTCGCACTTCCGCCCCTCGCCCGCCGCCGGAAGGTGGTCGGGTTGCCAGGCCCTGGTCCTGAACACGGGCAGCTCGAGCATCAAGTACGGCGTGTATGTCGGGGGGCGGCCCAGCCGAAACCTGGCAGACCATTTCCCTCATCTCCTGCTCCACCTTTCCCCTCCTCCTCCTCCTCCCCTCCTCCTCCTCCTCCCTCCCTCCTCCACCCCCTCCCCTCCTCCTCCTCCCCCTCGTCCTCCTCCTCCTCCTCCTCCTCCCTCCTCCTCCTCCTCCTCCTCCTCCCTCCTCCTCCTCCCTCCTCCTCCTCCTCCTCCTCCTCCTCCTCCTCCTCCTCCTCCTCCCTCCTCCTCCTCCTACCTCCTCCTCCTCCTCCTCCTCCTCCTCCTCCTCCTCCTCCTCCTCCTCCTCCCTCCTCCTCCTCCTCCTCCTCCTCCTCCTCCTCCTCCTCCTCCTCCTCCTCCTCCTCCTCCTCCTCCTCCTCCTCCTCCTCCTCCTCCTCCTCCTACCTCCTCCTACTCCTCCTCTCCTCCTCCCTCCTCGTCCTCCTCTCCTCCTCTCTCCTCTCTCCTCCTCTCCTCCTCCTCCTCCTCCTCCTCCTCTCCTCCTCCTCCTCCTCCTCCTCCTCCTCCTCCTCCTCCTCCTCCTTCTCCTCCTCCTCCTCCTCCTCCTCTCCTCTCTCTCTCCTCCTCTCTCCTCTCTCCTCCTCCTCCTCCTCCTCCTCCTCCTCCTTCCTCCTCCTCCTCCTCCTCCCCCTCCGTGTCGTTCTTCTAGCCTCGTCCCAAGGTGGATGATATCTATATATGTATAGATATATGCACATCCCTACACATATATTATATATATATATATATATACATATATGAATACACATATATATATATATATATATAAAGATATGCTGCCTGAGGCAGGCTTGAATGGCGAGGCGGACGCCACGCAACGGGGGATGGCCTGCGAGGGGTCGGCCAGGCCGCGCCCGCGCATGACGTCGTCGGCCCGGGCGACGCGCGCCTGGCGTGCCGGGGCCTCGTCGAGGGCGTCGGGCTGCCCCCCGGCGGCGGCGCGCACCGGCACCAGGCGGAGGGCGCGCCGGAGCAGAGGCACCAGGCGAGGGGCGCAGGGAAGGCAGGCAGCGGCGAAGCGTCCTGGCTCGCTTGCAGTCAAGGCGCTGAAGTAAGGAGCAGAGCAGATTGGGTTCGGAAAGGGCTCGATGTTCTTGGGGTTCCTCCGGGGCTGTTCCGCTTGCCCCCCTAGGGCGCGGATGCGATTGCAGGGCCAAGAAGGGGCTTCGTTCCTTAGTTGGCGTTCCTTCTTTCAGCAGCCCGATTGTATACCTCTACCAAACAATGTTCCAAGAACCTCTTGTGGCTTCCACGACATGTTCTCGGAACATGTTTGGCCGAGTCTGTCTTGCCTCAACACGTCAGGTGTATGTCATAAGAACCGTATTCTTGTTCTTAGAACATTTGTGTGTTCTGAGAACATGTCGTGGTAGGCCTATAGAACTGCCGGGACGGTCGGTCCCTGCTCAAGGAAGAGTCTGCAGGTAGGAAAGGGTTATGGTATAATAAGGGGTGTGGTGCTGATTTCATTTCATGTGAAGGGGACTCTGGCGATGCTGTCTATCGCAGACAGCATCGCCACTTCCACGATTGGTACCATACCCCTTTATGCCGCACCCCTGTCCGACCTCCAAAAAAAGAGCGCGGGTGCGGGCGGCTGCGCGGACAGGCGCGCGCAAGCTGCCCGCGTGAGGTCGCGCTCAGGGGAGGGCCATCGTCTACGCGCCGGTCGTTGAGAGTAGGAACGTGTGGATTCCCCTATCCCGATCTACTTTGGCCGCCTTCCTACTTCAAGAGTAGAGTGGTTGTTCCTCTCAACTTCCCTCCTCTTCAGGGGGCGGGCGAGAACCCAATCTGCGTCCAACGCCTTCGTACTTCGCGATTCTACCGACTTCTTCCGGTTGACGGGTACGCGTAAGAGTGACCTTTCGCCGGAGTGACCCTTGGTGCGGGCTCACAGGGGTGCCCCCATCACTGGCCCGCGCGCTTGGATTTGGGGCCTTCGCGGTCCCCTGAAGCCGCGCAACAAAGGTCACTCTTGCCCGCCAGGGTCACTCCTGCGTGTAGCCGGAGGAAGAGGAACCGATGCCGCCACCCTTCCCTCGATACCCTTCTTCTTGGGCTTCCTGGGAGGCCCTGGTAGCCACCGCTGGTTTCGCCTCGATATTCGGGTCAGAGCGCGTCCTGGGGGAGGTCCAGGGAGTAGCGGCATGTCTACCTTTTGGCTTCCCCACGCGCGTCAGCGCCTTGGTTCCCCACGTGCTGTGCCGCGCGCTAGCGGCCCGCGCAAGCCGCGGCGGAGGGATCGCCATGCCATCTTGCGCATCACTGCTTGCCAATGCGCGCCAGCCCAGCCCAGGGACCCAGGGGCCCCAGTTCCCCCCAACTTTCGGGTCGGGTGGTGCACGGGTTCCACTGTATGCTGTCGATCTTCCCGAGAGGCTCCCCCCACAGGCAGTTTGACAGGTCAGGCGGCGTTTTCGGGTTCGGTAGGAGCGGCCTTGGTAGGCAGTCGGCGTAGCACCCGCCTCTCTTCGTCGCTCAGGTGGACGTTGCCGACCACGGCGCTGGACTGCAGCGCATCTTCGACCTGCTGCCCCAGGAGACCCTCGACAGCATCAGGGTCGTGGGCCACCGGGTGGTGAACGGCGGCGCGAGCTTCACCGCCCCCGCCGTCATCGACGACGAGGTCGAGAGCGCGATCCGGGCGTCCCTGCCCCTCGCGCCGCTGCACAACCCCGCCAACCTCTCCGGCATCCAGGCCGCGCGGGCCGTCTGGGGGGAGGTGCCGCACGTGGCGGTCTTCGACACCAGCTTCCACGCTGCCATGCCGGCCGAGTCGTTCCTGTACGCCGTGCCGAAGGAGTGGTACGAGAAGTACGGCGTCCGCCGCTACGGCTTCCACGGGACCTCCTACAGCTACGTCCTGGGGCGCGTGGCGTCGGAGCTGCAGAGGCCGGCGTCGAGCCTCAACCTCATCGTCTGCCACATCGGCAGCGGGGCCAGCATGGTGTGCATCAAGGAGGGCAGGAGCCTGGACACCACCATGCGAAGAAGACACGTCGGCGTGCACACAAACTTTCGGAGCTCTGCGCAGAGTTCTTGGCTCGGCGCTGGGCCCGTTTGGCGGCACCTCCCGCGCCGCCCCCGGCGGGCTCCGCGGGCCAGGGATGAGGGGCTTGTCTTCCACCGCCACCACCATAAGTAGGACGGGGAGGTGGTCCTCCTCCCTCCCCTCTTCTTCCTCCTCCTCCTTCTCATCCTCCACCTCCTTCCCCCCTCCAACTTGTAGCGGCGGTGGTGGTGGAGAGCAGGCCGCTGGAGGGAGGGAAGTTTATGTCTCTGCTGCCTTTTCTTCCTCCAACCGTGGGCTTCACGCCGCTGGACGGCCTGGTCATGGGCACCAGGAGCGGAGACGTGGACGCGGGCGTCTTCGGCCACCTGACCAAAGCGGCGGGCCTGTCCGTCGGCGAGGTCGACTCCGCGCTCAACAAGAAGAGCGGCCTGTACGGCCTGTGCGGCTTCTCGGACATGCGCGCCGTGCAGGAGCGCGCCGACGGCGGCGACGCGGACGCTGCACTCGCCGAGCGGATCTTCGTGGAGCGCGTGCGGAAGTACCTCGGGGCCTACCTGGTCAGGCTCCGCAACAACGTGGACGCCATCGTCTTCACCGCAGGGGTGGGCGAGAACAGCGCGCGCTTCCGCGCCCTCGCGTGCGAGGGCCTGGAGGAGTTCGGCATCAAAATCGCGCCCGGGAAGAACCTCGCGGCGAAGGGCGTGGCCCGGATCGAGGACGCCTTCTCGCGGACGAAGGTCATGGTGGTCCCGACGGACGAGGACCAAGAGGGGAAAAAACGCACAGACACAATTAATCGTCGATTCCCAAGAAAATATGGGACAATATGGGAAGTGGGGGGGAAGACAAAAACCCAGAAAATATAAGAAAATATGGGGAATATTTTTATTTGTGTGTATTTATTTGTGTGTCCTGGGGCCCCCTTAGAGGAGGGCAGCATCGCCATCCAGGCCATCGACCTCGTGGGCGTCCTGCCCGAGCCGGCGCAGGAGGTGCCGGCGGCCCTGCCGGGGCGCCGCAGGAGGCCGAAGCACGACCTGCTGGTGGTCGGGGAGAGCTCCCACAGCGGATGGGCCCATGTTCCGCCACCGCCACCAAGCTGGAAGGGGGAAGGAGGTGGAGGACGAGGAGGAGGATGACCAAGAGGAGGAGGAGGGGGAGGAGGAGGAGGGGGAGGAGGAGGAGGAGGAGGAGGAGGAGGAGGAGGAGGTGGAGGAGGACCCCCTCCCCCCCTGACTTCTGGTGGTGGTGGTGGAAGACGGGCCCATCACCAGCACCACCGTGGCGGAGGAGCTGGGAATCGGCAGCCTCGTCTTCCCCGCCGTCACCGCCTACCGGGGCACCTGCGGGTACTTCCGCATCCTGTCCGACGGGCCCGAGGACGGCCACGTCCAGCTGATGCGCGACCACTTCCACCTGGAGGGGACCCATCAGGACCCTCGGCTGCCCCAGTGCGCGCGCGCGGATACGCAGCACCATGCCGTGCTCAAAGAAGCGTCCGTGTGAACACGTTGCCCGTCGGCTCGGCGCACTGGCCCACGTTTGGGCGAACGCGTCGCGCCAAGCGCACGTGTGAAGCCCACGTCTTGAGATCCGTATTCCTACGCTACGTGTTGCGCGTTGCGTATCGGGGCAGCCAAGATCAGGACATGCACGGGATGACCATCAAGGAGGCGGTTGACCTGGGCGTGGAGACGGGCAGCTACGACGAGGTCCTGCAGAAGATAGTGCACAAGTTCCAGGCCTACAGGAAGGGCAAGGACCGAACAAGAAACCCGAGAATGAACATACACTTTCGGAGGTCCGCACGGATTGCTCAGGTCGGCGCTGGACCCCCCTGGCGGCGCCTCTGGCTTCGTTCCTGGCCTGTTCTGCGCGCCAGGGAGGGGGGCCAGCGGCGATCATTGACATCCGCACGGACCTCCAAAGATTGTTGCTTCTACCGGTCTCTCTTGTTTGAATCAGCAGGGAAAGAAGCACACAGAGACAATTAATCGTTGACTCCCAGGAAAATATGGGAAAATACGGGGAGTGGGGGGGAGGACGAAAACCCAGAAGATATGGGAAAATATATGGAACCGTGTTGTTTGTGTCTGTTCATTTGTGTGTGCCCCTGGGCCCCGTCATGCAAGGGAGGGGCTACTGCTCGCACTCGCCAAACATTCATGGGCGTGTTCTGCGCCGTTCTGCCCTCTTCGCTTCCCTCCCCGGGTGCGCCCACTGCACCAGAAGGCTCCGCCTGCAGGGGTGATTATTCTGCGCAGTGCTTTGCTCTGGGCCTCCCAGACGGAGTCGGAGCAGATGGGGTCGGAGGATCGCTCCGCATGGCCGATGCATCGGCGATGCGACTCGATGTGGAGCCCGCTTTTCTCCACACCGACGTCGCTGACGCATGGCCGACGTTGCCGATGCATCGTCGATGCATCGGTGATGCATCCGCGATGCGGCGCGATCCTCCGACCCCATCTACTCGGACCCCATCTAGGAGGCCTTTAATTCTCTTCTGAAGGATTTTGTGCTTGTCGGGGGTCACTTCGTCACAGATGCCGGGCGGCAGCTCTGCAGCGATTTCGCGGCTGCCATGCGGGTGCCCGTCCTGCTGGTGCAGAGCACTCGCACGTCCAGCGGCGGCGTGGATTGCCCAATGACCCGCACCGCGACCACGCTGGACGACGTTAAGAGGGCGCACGTCAGCCTCAGGCAGCATTGCCACGACATGCAGGAGATCGAACAATAGTAATACAAATCAATTTCACAAGAGAAATAAAACGAGTCATACTATTAATACTGAGAGTATTGATCATATGAACACTACGAATCATACATGTATTCAGGCCCATAGCAAGAATAACGCTACTAACATTGTATGGGTAGCAGTACAAACATATCAGTCATGTGTTCTAGCAAACCTATCGGTACGATCCGTATCTGTAACGAGAGTAGTCTTACGCATACAAAGAATAAGAGAAACAACACGACGAGTAATAACAGTAGCAATAAGATGGATACTAATAATAATAAGAATAAGAAAAATAAGAATAATCATAATAATAATAATAAGAAGAAGAAGAGCAACAAGGAGAGTCGGCACGAGCACACGGCCGTGCGGAGGCCCGCGCACATTCTTCTCCTGGGAGCGGCGCTGGGCCCCGCCCCCGCCGGCGGCGGGTCCACAGCGCCAGCCCGAGCCGTCCGCACCGGCCTCCGCAGGTCTGCGCTCGTGCCGGCCTGCTCCCGATCGGGCTCCTGCCCGGACACTTTTTGGTCTGCGGGACGAGTGGGAACCTCTTCCGGTCAAAAGCTAGGCGGGCTACGCACAGCTCTAGTTGGGGGAGACAGGGCACAGGCGGGCGGGGCCTCAGGCGGCCGGAGGGCGGGCCGGGGCGCAGGCGGTGCCGAGGAGCATGCGCAGGAAAAGGAACGCCTTGGACAGGAGCCGGAGGCGAAGATCCGGAGGGTGAGCGGTGTTGTGCTGCCCTGACACGTCGAGTAAGGAATTGACCGTTTTCGGTTCGCGAGAGGGCGTCGCGGCCGTCAGTTTTCTGCGGGCCCAGGGCCGTCGGTTTCGGTCCCGGGCCGTGTGCACTCAGGGGAGGCTGGCTAAGGGGAGGTTTGTCCACCGCCGATTGGAGCGTTCCAAAAAAGGGCCTGAAGCCTTCGAGAGTCGCAGGAGTTGCCATCTCTTCCGCGGCGGAGGGGCGGCGGAGGGGCGGCGGAAGTGGAGCGAGGCCGCCTCCGCCGGCGGAAGCCGGCGGAAGGGCGGCGGAAGGCGGCGGAAGTAGAAGATGCGTCCCCAACAGATGAAATCAGGGATTCAGAAATCGCCCACACAAAGTGTGCGCCTACGGAAGCGACGCGTGCAGCAAGTGGCAGGGGAAGCGGAGAGGACTGCCTGTGTGCTGGGCTCGCGCCAGGTAGCGAGGCAGTACAGACTGGAGGGCAAGGAGTTTTTTCTTCCTCCTCATTCCTCCTCCTCCTATTCCTCCTCCTCCTTCTCCTCCTCCTCCTCTCCTCCTCCCCCTCCCCGTCCAGGCTAATTTTGCCGAGGGCGGTCGCTGTATATATATATATATATATATATATATATATATATATATATATATAGATGTATGTATACATATATATATATACATATATATATATATATATATATATATGGCCGTTCGGGCCTAACGGGGGGCGTCGTTTCCCTGATCTGATTTTCTTACGCACCACAGCAGAGACAATACAGTGCCACGAATTCGTGAACCTCCACTTGCGATCTGTCCGCGATCCACATGGAGTCGCCTCCTGCCCCCGCAAGCAAAGTCCACAATCACCCCTGCGTCGCGGGATCATAGGCCGATGGGTTTCCCGCTCACTCCTCCTGCATGCCGAAAAGCTGACATGATGGAAGCCATGGCCCCCCATGGATTCCTGGAACCTTCCAAAAAAAACCTTCCACAAACCCTCCTCGCGAAGAGTCAACCTGGAGCCTTACCAGAAAACCTTTCCAAAGGATTCCCATTGAAAGCCTCTACACAAGGATTCCGATTGAACGCCTCCTACAAAGGGATTCCGATTGAAAGCCATAATAAAAAAAAGAATTCTTATTGAACGCCAATACAAAAGGATTCCTATGGGGAGCCTGTGCACAAGAAATTCCCATTGAGAGCCTCTACAAAAGGATTCCTATTGAGAGCCTCCACAGAAGGATTCCGATTGAAATCCTTAACACAAGGATTCCAATTGAAAACCTCTACACAAATATTCCTATCGAGAGCCTCTACAAAGGATTCTTATTGAAAGCCAATACAAAGGATTCCTATGGGGAGCCTGTACACAAGAAATTCCCATTGAGATCCTCTACGAAAGGATTCCTATTGAGAGCCTCCGCAGAAGGATTCCGATTGAAATCCTTAACACAAGGATTCCGATTGAAAGCCTCTACACAAATATTCCTATCGAGAGCCTCTACAAAGGATTCCTATTGAAAGCCAATACAGGAAAGGATTGCTATTGAGAGCCTGTACTGAGAGCCTGTACGGAAGGATTCCTACCGAAATCCTGTACAAAAGGATCCAGATTGAAAGCTTCCAGAAATGGATTCCTATTGTAAGCCACTGCAAAAAGGATTCCGATTGAGAGCCTCTACGAAAGGATTCATATTGAAAGCCCATACATACGGATCCTTATTGACAGCCAGTGCAAAAGGATTCCTTCTAAGAGCCTGTACAAAAGGATTCTTAGTGAGAGCCTCTACACACGGATTCCTTTTGAGAACCTCTACACAATGACTCCTACTGAGAGCCTCTACACAAGGATTTATATTGGAAGCCGAAACAAAAGGATTCCTATTGCGAGCCTCTTTCAAAGGATTCCGATTTCAAGCCTCTACCTTGGGTTCCTATTGAAACCCAGTACAAAAGGATTCCTATTGAGAGCATGTGCAAAAGGAACCCTATTGAGAGCCCGTACGAAAGGATTCCTATTGAGAGCCTCCGCTGAAGGATTCCGATTGAAATCCTTAACACAAGGATTCCGATTGAAAGCCTCTACACAAATATTCCTATTGAGAGCCCGTACGAAAGGATTCTTAGGGAGAGCCTCTACACAAGGATTCCTTCTGAGAGCCTCCACACAAGGATTCCTATTGAAATCCTTCACACAAGGATTCCTATTGGAACCCAGTACAAAAGGATTCCTATTGAGAGCCTCTACACAAGGATTCCTGGTGGAAGCCAATACAAAAGGATTATCATTGAGAGCCTCTACACAAGGATTCCTTTTGAGAACCTCTACAGAAGGACTCCTATTGAGAGCCTCCGCGAAAGGATTCCCATTGAGAGCCTCTACAACAGGATTCCGATTGAGAGCCTCCACAAAAAGGGTTCCGGTTGAAAGCCTCTGCAAAAGGATTCCTATTGAGAGCCTCTTCGCACGGATTCCTGTTGAAAGCCTGTGCATATGCCCATTGTAATCCTCTACACAAGGATTTCTATTGGAAGCCAGTACAACATGATTCGTATTGACAATCTCTACGACATGATTCCTATTTGGGAGCCAATACAAACGGGTTCCTATTGAAAGCCTCTACACAAGGATTCCGCTTGAAAGCCTTTAAACAAGGCTTCCTATTGAAAGCCTCTACACAAGGATT